AAAATAATAAAACAAGGTATTTATCTGCAATGATTAGACTTTTTTTTTTGTATTGTCATTAGTGATTATCTCAATTTCGGCCAAAAGAATTGACAAAATCCTACACACTGTGCCTTTAATGATGGTGATGGAAAAAAAACATGACAATCAGCTGCATGCTCACGTTCAATAGGATCAAACCAGCTGCTCTTCTGACTCTTTTAACAACTGGCTTCAGACTAGAAAAATCTTAAAAAAAAAAAACATACAGAAGGAGGAGCTATCGGAGTCCAGCTCGACCGCCACGGTGTTCCTCGTGAACAAACACACCCACAAAGTTCTAACCAATCACATGCTCTGAGCAGCATCTCAGAGCTCTGACAAGGGGCAATGTACACGATGGCAGTTACTGGGGGATAGCAGCGGGAGAGCAGACAGAATTTCCACAATTTTTTGTCACTCAGCAGGGGGAACAAGATGTGCAATGCAAAGTACAAACCAGTCTTTACTCCTCTCTAAACCCAACCTAACCCTCTTTGTCAAGGAGAACATCTTCATTCCTGAAAATGTGAGCATTGGCCTGTAGATGAGTATAAACTGCAGAGTCCTGGCCTGATGATGTTGCTCTTCTGTGCTGGGCCATCCTTTTGGCCAATGGCTGCTTTGTTTTCACAATTCCCTAACCTAACCCTAACCTARCCCCATATCAGAACTTTGTATACATATTTTTGAATATTTCATGTTAATTTAAATAAAGTATAAATGTTGACTCTGAAAATCCTGCTTTTCTTCTGTTTATTAGCCATGCCTTTAGCAAATCCTGCCCCTTCTAACAAAAGGAATGCGACCGGCAAGATCATCACGGACCTGTCCAACATCAGCCAGAAGGGTAAAACAAACTAACTAACTCACTGACAGAAAACAATTAGGCATTGAAACACAAAGCTTAAACAGGAAACTTCTCATTTCTCCTTTGCCTGCTGTGATTTCATTAGACACTCGAGTAAACAACACATCTTCTGTGTTTGTTTGCCAGCTGCCTTGCCAGCAAAGTGCAGACAGACCTGCATGTGTGTGAATCATTGCATCTGGCTTTAAGTCACCACAAATAAATAAATAAATGCMCCCCCCCCCCCCACACACACACACACACACTCACATGCACACTTATTCCAAGCGGTAACAAAATATCTAACATGCATGAGACAACTTCTGGAGGGTTGTTGGCCATCATCARATGGCAAAGCAGCCACAAATCTGTCAGCATCACAAGCAACGCAAAACACCACGTGGTGCTTCTGCACCCACGTTGTCTCTGTGAGGTATTGTGTAACAAAACTTAGCAAAAGGCTTACAGAATTAAATTTAGTAACATCTTTTRAGGAGTTAATTGTTGTTCTTGAAGTGAATTCATTGAAGGACTGCAWATCACCCACCACCTTTTAATGACTGAGCTTTAAACTAAAAGCACATCATGTTGAGGAATTACAGAATTGTAAGCATTTTGGTTAAACCTTGAAAATAATATTATGTGTAATTTCAAACTATATRTGTAATCAGTTAGTGCTTGAAGTATGTGTTGTAAATGACTGTCTGTCAGCTATTCATACCAAATTTTAGCAGCCACTTTTAGGGTAAGGTCAATGAGCTCTGGCTGCAGTCTTGAAGAGTTGTGCCTCCACTCATTACTTTCTGAGAGTTTCAATAAAAATAGGCCTACTTCATGAGATATTTTGCTAACAAACAACGTTGATACCAATTTTTTATACCAAAGATTCATACTAAGATGTTGTGCACTGTGCAATAGCACCAAGTTTTCACTCAATGTCTGTATAATTAACTGAGATGGAGTTATCTTTGAGTTGGCTAATTTTGATTAGCTGCAGCAGCCATCTTGAATTGGGTTCACTCCAATAGTCAGTTCTACATGTCRTTTCAGAGATTTCTTTCTGAAATTTCATTAAAATTTGTTGAGTTGTTCATGAGATATTTTGTTAACGCTACATACAGGTGAACACACATACACGTGCACAGTCACGGGACAGAACGTTATTGCCTTTGCGTCGCCTTGGGGCGATAATTAGTTCTTTTGTTTTTTTTCTCCACGCTGGATGTCTATTTTRAGTACTGATTCTTCCTGTGCTTCTTCCAAAATCTCCTCGAGTGAGTCAGACGTTTTACATACTGCAGGAAAGACCCACTAGAAACAAAATGTTTATTGCAGTTCTCTCTGCCAGACACACCAGTTGGTCCATCTGTTCAATCTCTGACTGCGCAGCTTCAAGTTGTCCAAACTCAAAAATACATTATTTTGAAATATAGCAGAGAGAACAAACAYAAAAAACACGTATTTAAAACATTTTCAGAAAACCTTTTTCAATGATATCTAATGTTCCAGGAAAAAAAACAAAACAGAATTATTTCCCTTTGCTGATACTTTTATTCCATTGCAAGTATAAAAAACATTAAAGAGCTGTATGATTTTAGATAAAGTGCACCACATCATGCTGCTGTAACCACTCCAACAACTGGTATAATGTTCTCTACCAGCACAAGGACCTTTGACTGACAGGCAAATTGTTGCTTCCTGGTGTCAGCTGGGACCAGCTCCAGCTCTGTCCTTCTCAGCATAAAAGGCAGTATTAGCTAATGGATAAATAGGTGTACYTACAGAAAAGTCTTTTTCCTCCATGGGTTATGTCTTCTGTAATTTGAATCTGTCTGACCTATTTTTTATTGTAAAACTTGTGGTAATTTTATCAAATTTATCTTGATGACTCATCCTGATAAAGACAATATTCAAGAATGCTTCAAGTATTTCATGGTGCAGTTGATTAACTTGTGACACAAAAATCTCCTTAATAGTTCAAATCTTCACCACAATCAAGTACATATGTTATCTTCAGTTGTTATGAAAATGCTCTATATATCAAAAATAAATTTGACTTCACATCGAAACGCCCTGAAATTGGCCTCTGTCTCTTTAAGAACCTCCTACTGTTTCAAACACTCCCACTTCAGTACATCTTCACAACAATGCTTCAAAGGAGGGTTGCTCTGTATGGTGAGAGCTCGGCTGCAGACTGAGCTCCAGGGAGGAGCTTTGTGTAAAGAGGCGGAGCTTTCTACCAGCTAGCATTTAAGCAGCTCCACATGGCTACCACGGGAGGTTCGAGGATTTCTCAAACATGCATGAATGAGTCAAAGCAACACTCAAGCAAGCTAATGTCAAGCTAAAAGTCAATATTCCTCTCCTGTAATAATAATTTGAGTAAAAGTCCTAAAGTATGTTCATTTTTTGTACTTAAGTATTAAAAGTATTGAGTAAAAATGAGTCGTTAGAATCTCCAAACTGACATTTATTGGGAGGTGACCTCCCTAAAAACATTGCTCTAAATGCCATATTGACTGTTAAGTTTTATTATAATGTTAATGTTGAAAAATTAGGCTACTGTAGGCTACCTGTTTCAGTTTCATATACTGTATATCTGCCATGGTCGTCTTCATACCAGGCTACATGCTGCTGCACTGTTAGAAGATTTGTGTTATACGGATTGCATACAAACCAATATGATGTCAGAATGGAATTTTCCCATCCAACCACAGTTACATTCAATTTATCTGGGAGGTATGACATAGGTGTATTTTTTTGACAATAATAATCTAGAGTAATAAAAAAACTTCTTACATTTAAAAAAAATTAAGAAAGTACAGATAATTGCATGAAAATGTAAGAAGTAGAAGGAAAATGCCAGCTGAAAAATATTTACTCAAGTAATGTATAGCCAAAATTTCTAGATAATCAAATGTCTGCTATCAAACTACAAAAACGTCCAAATGGGGTGGAGTGGACGACGATGAATGAAACCTGGAAGAGGCCGGGGTATGAAGCGCCTCATTTGCATTTAAAGACACAGAGTTGGTCTCAGGGGCTTGTGGAGTTACAATAATGCGAAAAACAGACCAAAGATTGCAATTCCACTTTACATAAACTCCAACTGTATGATTAAAAGGTGAAAAGGAAGGATTTAAAAGCTGGATGTGTCTCCTTTAAACCAATTTAGTTTTGTTTATTCTGCAACTATTTAAGGTTTTAAAACATGCTATAAACAAGTTATTAATTGAGGAGTCTCCTTCACGTGTCACGTTAAAGCCACCTGCGTGTGAAATCACCAAAAATGAATCAGGGCTGGAAGACGACCCATCGCCGTGAGCTCTCAAATAATATGTTGTGTCATTGCCAAATAACAAAACATTTCTTAGACTCTCCGAGCACAAAATCAGCAGTTAAAAGCAGTTTAATTGTTTGCTTGCATGCTTACATCAATCATTAAAAAATCTGTTGGTGTCTTTTTTCTGCTTTTCCCGCCCGTCTGTCGTCCCATCTGCAGCCACATCTGTACGCTTCCTGTTTGTTTTCACTCAGTCAGTCAGCTAATCCTGCTTAGCCCCTRTTTTGCTCCAGTTAATACCAACACATCCCTGCCATTGTGTCATTCTGCAGCTTTTATTTATTTATTTATTTAATCACATGACTCCGGCTGCGTGTCGTCCATCTGTCCACTCCTGCCTCCGTCAGTCTGTCCAGTTTCCTCCCGGGCCGGCGCTCGTGTCTCATTCTTCTCAATCAACACTAATAAATATCCCCACGAGAGACCGTTGAGCATTATCCATATTTCTCTGCAAACTTCTCGCTCGCATGCACACGCCCACCGCACGAGCCTGATTTATGACACTCTGCTAACAGCTCTCTGCAGCACAGCGACTTCCAGCTTTACAGATGAGTTTGTGGCCGTGTGTGTGTGTGGGTTAATAGCTGAACTCCAGGTGTTATGAGTAATTTCAGGGCTGTGTGTGTTGGATGAGGAGAGTGTTTTTATGAGGAGCTCGGTGGAGCAGTAAAATCCATCACACCTCTGCATCGGTGACAAAAGAGGAGAGGCGTTATGAGGATTTCCTTCCATAAACAAAAACCTGCTAYGGCATCCCGCCTCCCCGTGCCCTCTTCTTTCACATCGCCATGGCCTACTAACCCTCACAACACCCCTGCAGACATCCTTTAACACCACATGACATTTTATTACAGCCAGGAAACCTCAGGACATAAACATGCCCTTTTAAAGCACACACATTCTTTAAAAATTGAATTCTACAAGTATTTCTCTGGTCTTGGAATCCTGAGGTTCAAGGTGGCATCAGGAAGRGCATTTGGTGTAAAATAATTGCCCAATTTTTTTGAGCGAGCTCACTCGCTGTGGGGACTTCTGCACAGCTGAGCAGCCAAAAGAAGAACTTTAAAATTGTGAATTTTTTAAGAGGACATATGCAAAATCCACATTTTTAGCTGTTAAATGCATGTTGTTGTGCATTTGGAGTCTCTGGGAGTGCTGAAAAGTTTAATTTAAAGAGACAACCTCGAAATGAGTTTATCTGAGAGAGGCTTGTGGAGTTACATTAATGAGGAATTCAGAGCAAAGCATGGCAGTTACACTTTATATTGACCCCAACTGGAGGATTCAAATGTGGAAAAGAAGGATTTAAAAGCAGGATATGTCTCCATTAAACCAAATGTAAGTTCTTAAAGGGATCCATGATTAGTGGTAACATTAGACTTTATTTGATAAACATATATTTTAACTGTAAAATAAAGACTGTAAAAATACYGTAGGCTRTTTAGTTTTGTAAATTTTTAAAAATAGATTTTAACAGAGACGGAGCCATTTTATTTACACACAAAGCATTCTGGGTAAATGATGACGTGGATAGGTCCTCGGTGTGAGCGAGTTATATCCACTCTGAAGGTTAATCTTGAATATCTGATGATCAACACTTTTAAATGAAACCAGAGAGCGTTGACAGAGAGGAGAAGGTAGAAACAACTCAGTCTGTAACTGAAAATATGGATGGAGGACAACAGAGCTGCTTCATGGAAGAAGAACCTCAGCTTAGCCTGTTAGCTTTAGCGCTGACGCTATATTGCCTTATATGTATTAGCTTGGTGCCAGCGCGACAAACAAGCTAGACTGATGTCCTCCATCCATATTTTCAGTTGCAGCTGAGTCATTTTTGTGTTCCCCTCTGTCATGTGGATGGAGGACCTCAGTGACGAGAGGAGAATGTGTAGCGCTGAGCTAATACATATATATCGTGATAGCATTGGGGCTAATGCTAAAGCTAACCGGCTAAGCTGAGGTTCTTCTTCCATGAAGCAGCTCTGTTGTYYTCCATCCATATTTTCAGTTACAGGCTGAGTCATTTCTACATTCTCCTCTCTGTCAACGCTCTCTGGTTTCATTTAAGAGTCGATCATCAGATATATATTGTCCAAGATTAACCTTCAGGGTGGATATAGCTCACTAGCAGCCTCGCACCGAGGACCGATCCACGTCATCATTTACCCAGAATGCTTTGTGTGTAAATAAAATGGCCACATCTGTGTAATATATTTTTGAACTTTTAGTTTAAAAATGACAAAAACTGAACATCCTACAGTATTTTTACACTCTTTATTTTACAGTTAAAATATGTTTATCAAATAAAGTCTAATGTTACAACTAATCATGGATCCCTTCAAAACCTAAGCTAAACATTGCACCTTTTCTGCCCTTATTTAGTTCCTTTTTCCTTTCCTCTTCCTGTCAGAGGATGAGTTGAACCCCGATGCCGCCGAGCTGGACCTGGGCACCAAGATAAAGACGCCCAAGGATGTGATGCTGGAGGAGCTCTCCCTGATGAAAAACAAGGGATCCAAGATGTTCAAGAAGAGGCAGGAGAGAGTTGAGAAATTCATCGTGAGCAACGCCAACCTGGTCAGAGTTAAAACAAACGGACTGTGTGTGTTGTTGTGTGCACGTGTGCATGTGTGTGTGTACTGATGAAGTTCTGTTTTCACCTTCCAGCAGAACCTCCAGAACCTGCTGATTATTCCTCCTCCTGTTCCACCAAAACCTGAAATGCCAAAAGAAGAAAGTAGGCTCATACTACAGCAATTTCTTTACCGTGTGAATGCTGAAGCAGCATTTCCCCCCCTTTAATTCATCTGCTTTAAACTATTCCCTTGTGCATCTCAGAGGTGGAGGAAACAGTGAATAAGGAGGAAGAGAAGGCGAAGAGGAGAAAGGAGTATGTGCGTACCTACGTATCRCCATGGGAAAGGGCCATGCGCGACAACGAGGAGCTTAAAGCCACTATGAAGCCTCTCATGCCAGGACCCATCCAAATCCACCCAGATCTGCCTCAGTACAAGAGCTTCAACAGGTAAACAGAAACACATTATACTATAATATACTACTACTATTATACTATTTGTAAAGTTTAGAATAAAAATCTGAATGTTTTGTTAATAATCATTAGTTATAATTAAGCTTATTGTTAAGCTACATTTACTCCAGGATGTTGGAAGGGAGATTCTGACCAGTTGTTCTGACAGTTCTGCTGGAGGTGCTCAGGAGAAGCCAGAGTTGCTTTATACTCAGTACAAAGTGGAGCTCATTTCCTGTGCAGGGTGGACTCTTCCAGGACCTCCACTTGTTTCCAGCCCTGTTTGTGGTGCTGTGGACAGCTGGGTGTCATTCGAGAACCTCAGAGTCTCATCTCTGCTTCAGATGATGTATCGTCAGATCTCGACCTTCAGCGAGCACCGACTCTGGTTGCAGCCGAGTGTAAAGCAGGTCTGAGACCGGGGAATGTCTCCTCTGGGTTAGGGATGAGTCTTTGCCTCAAGAAAAGGAGGCCTTTGTGTCCAATTGTCCCCAAAGCTGTTATTGCAAGTATGACCTCAGTAGGGCCTCAACRATAKTCAGGTGATGGGCCACATGACCCTCTATGAACAATAGAGCCAATCAAGGCACTAACAACCTATTATTTGGCTGACGGTCCTGTTTTGCATGTGACTAACCTGTTTGTCCACCATGTGGAGGCAGTGCTTATAAAGCTGAGTTCACCTGAAACTACTCAGACTGAAGAAGTCTCTTGGAGGGGAGACGAAACGTTTCACTAAGAAGAACCCATCCAGAGGACCTACTTATTTTCTCTTTTTGATTTTTTCTACCTGGATTACTGAGATGCATCAGGACACAAAAAGAGGGGTTCAGATACCTGGGAGTCTTTCTGATAAGTGGTAGGATGGAGCAGAAAATGATTGACAGGTCAGGGCCTACAGTGAAGGCATTGCTCTAATCTGTCATGGTGACCAAAGAGCTTAGCAAAAAGGCAAGTTCTCTTTTATTGGTCKGTCTATGTTCAAACCTTCACTTATGGTCATGTGTGACAAAAATGAGATTCTAGATACGAGTGACTGAAAAAGGGTGGCCTGAGCTCATCCTTAAAGTTAAGACTTGAAGATGAAGGAGTAGAGCCGCTGCTCCGCTGAGTCTGAAATAAGTTTGTAAGGTTGGTTTTTTTTGAGTACAGCAAGGAGAACATGGAGCAAATTCAGAACTCTCTGGAAGGATCAGGTTTCTGTTTTAGTCTGGAAATTAATTGGGACTCAGGAGGAGCTGGAGAGAGGGATTTCTGGGTTTCCCTCCCAGACCATGCCTCTGTGACCCAACTATGGATACACACCAGCTAATGGACGGATTGATGGATGGGTTCATAATATAACAGTCTTTTGTACTTTCAGTGCGATGAATATGCGTCACATTGATTTGTTAACTTTCTTTAGTGAGATTTGATTCTGCCAAAGGGCACTTTTGCAAATGAAAGAACAAGATATTCTCTGGACAATTCTGTTCTCATCTTTTTTTTTTGTTGAAAAATGACTGTTCTGAACRAGGCATTCAGAACATTTACGCCTTCAAAGATCATCCAGTGTTACAAAAACTGGTTACCTTTAAACACATTTGTACTGCTTAAAAGAGCTATATTAACAACAAACTGAATAAATTACTTCCAGTGACTGACTTTAATGCAGCAGAAGCAGATAATTCTGACATTAAAGTTCATTTAAGGATCAATTTCCAACAACAATGAAACCTTGACATTTCAGGACGTTATTTCTCAACAGATCACGGAGATCTTTATTCATTTCCCTGTATTTTAATGCAGATACAAAATATTAGCTGAATTGATTRTAATCTTTAAACCCAAGATTACCTCAATAAAAATGTTAGACAAGACTGAGCCTCTCTTTGTGAATTTCATCTTGGAAAAATATCTTGTGACAAAKGATATCAAAGGATTGTGGTAATAATTACCAAGATTTTGTCAGATCTCATATGTGAGATTGAATGTCTTTAAATAGGAAATTAATGTATGAGAATTGCGGCTATAAAGTTTTGAAACTGAAGAAAAAAATAAGAAATTAAAAGATTTAAAACTGAAAACAAATTTAAGACTGAACGAAAAAGATTTAAAACTGATTTAAAAAAAAGTTCAAAACTGTCATTTAATTCTGTAAGTTTGGCATGTCATTGTATTATATAATTTTATGGTAAATCAGTGTGACATACAATCTAAAATATTTCAGGTTGTTATATTATACAATTAACAAGTATGGCAGGCCATTGTATCACACAACTAAAAGAAAAATTGCATGCTGCATTTATGTCACATAATTAATGTTGGATGGCAGGCTACGGTGTCATATAATTTAAAAAATATGGCAGGTTGTTGTATCATGTAAATAAAGTATGGCAGGCTGTTGCATCATATAATCAACAAATATACAATATATAATTTTTTCAGTTTCAAACTTTTTCAGTTTCAAAATAATGTTTTATAACAGACGTTATTACCCCAATTTAAGTCCAATGTGTGAAAACAAAGTTGTTAAACTTTTTTTGTTGCGAAACGAAATGAAACGAAATGAAACAAAACAAAACAAAACAAAACWAAACTAAACAAAACAAAAAAAATAATCATAGCTTCCCGTCATCTTTTTCATTTCCTCCCCAGGTCAGCGCTGCCATACGGCGGTGTTGAAAAGGCGTCCAAGACGCTCACCTTCGAGCTCCCAGAGCTCAGCGACATTGGCGAGGAGCCCGAGCCTCTCCCCACCCAGCAGGCTGACATCCGCTCACGGCCCTCCTTCAACCGCACGCCCATCGGCTGGGTCTGCAGCGTAGACAATTCACACATCCACTCGGACCTGGAGGCCGAGAACCCCTTCAACGGAGAGACTGATGACCTGTGAACACACACACACACATGCAGACCCAAGCATATTTACAACACAAACAGTCAGAAACACACACATGCACGAAGAATCAACTTTYACGTGTGTTTGGACACAAAACTAACAGGTGATTTACACAAACTGATAATATTAGACGTTTGAACTGCAGGAGAACACTGAATCACACTGAAATCTGACTGAACTGAATGGAATATAAGAAAGTATCCAACCTTTCAGAATAAAAGTCTTATTGTCAGATTGGCGTGAGTATCAATRAGCACTGTACACTCTTAAAACAATGTAAAAATGCAATAAATGAGAATGTTTCTTATTGCTTGTGGACATCCTCACATTTGAACATTTTTGACTCCTATCTTTTTAAACAGCTGTCTCTTTAAATGATCATAACATTAGCTATATTTTCTTGAAAGATCTAACAAAAAGGGTTAAATATTATTTACTTTAACTTATAATCCTTGCTTAACTAAACATAATGGCTAACTTCAAGCCTCTTATTCTCCACAAATTGTTTACCTGAGTTAACAACAGTCCAGATTGCTACAAAGTTTTTTTTTATTTAGCGAAGAGTCAAAATTTAGGAAACAAAACAAAACAAATGGAAAACTTGTAATTAACTTTGACTTTTCGTGTTTAACTTCAGCTAAACATGTTCCTCACCTCATTGCTACGGCTGAGCGCCGCTAACAAATAGCTCTACGTGGTATTTCCTGCAGAGAAACAGCATTTCAACATGACCTCTTGAAAACTACTATGTGTACGACTGAGTAAATGTGAAACAAATAATACAGACACACTACAGATTTACTCACTGTTGAGTTGTGGTTCGTAGCTGCCATCTTGAACTCTGAACTCACCCACTTTCTGACATGAAGTTTCCACTGGAAGAGAGATGAAACATTTCATTAAAGAAGAACCCRTCCACAGGACCTACTTATTCTTTCTTTTCGATTTCCACTGAAGGGGCATTTCAGTTTAAATATACGACAGCAACAGCAAAAGTAGCCGACAAAATGCAGTGAAATAGAGATTTTACGCAAAATTTTGCCGTCGCTACATTTGAACGCCTGCACATCCACCAAGTTGTGGGATGTCGTCAATTTGTGGGTAAAACAGTGTGGGAGATGTAATTTATGCTCAATGTTGGTTTTATTGCATCATGTTTATTTTAAAGAGATAATAACGTATTTGAAGCTCAACGAGCCACATAAAGTGCAGTGACGAGCCACTTTTGGCCCGCAGACCTTGTGTTTGACACATAATGAAATGTGGAAATTTATGTAAATGAAAATACAAGTAATTTAAAATGTTATGACAAATTCTGAATTCCCACTATTCCAAATGAATTTATATTTTCCAGGTTGGCATCTGAAGCATTTTTTTTTTCATATTTGATTTTATAAATTCTGGGTCTAATTTGCACTGCAACATTAAAAATAAAAAAAAAACCTCCAGATTTTTTCTGTCACACTTTCAGAGCTAAATTAAACCTCTTCTGACTTCTCACTACGTGGGAACAATTTGTGACCGAGATCTGGCTCTGGCTGGTTTCCAGTTCCAGATGTGAAACAGATGTCCGCTGCGTGTCCCTGCCGGTGGGCCACAGAGAGGAAACACGGAGACGTCCGGCTGAAGGTGAGAGAGATGCGGCCATGACGTCATCAGCATCCTCGCCACGCGCCCAGGAGGCGGCGGCATCCGGCCGAGCCATTAAAAACTGAAAACCACGAGCCGCCGCGCTCGCAAAGCGGCGCTACGTTGGAGCTGAGAGCGAGCTGAGGGTATCGCGAGAGGCGCTGGTGGGGGCTGGACGCTGCCCGCGGCTCCCACCCCATCCCCACGCCCCCCCCCCCCCTCTCTCTCTCCGTGGTTTGATCACACGGTCGGACACGCGAGCAGGACGGAGACTGGCGGCGTCAGCGGCCGGGGCGAGCGGCACAAGGAGCGGGCTTCATCACGGCAGGAGGCACCGGCGGGGTCAGCTCACCGGACAGAGGTGGGTCTTAAAAACGTGCGCGCGCGTGTTAGGTTTAAACAGTCTGTACAGATGTGGTCCTCTCCAGATGTGACAGACATCTTTTTTTCCTCCCCATCATTAGGCTACTATCAATCATCATCATCATCATCATCATCATGGTTCCGTTCGGTTCGGATTCTCTCAGGTGGTGTGTGTGTGTGTGTGTGTGTGTGTGTGTGTGTGTGTGTGTGTGTGTGTGTGTGTGTGTGTGTGTGT